TCACACCAAATCCACACATTCAGCCGCCCCCAACCAAATCTACACACACAGCCCCCCAATCAAACCCACACACTCAACCGCCCCACCAAATCCACACGCGTCGCCGTCCACCAAAACCGCATACTCAGGCCCCCAGCTAAGACCACACACACAGCTCACCCACCAAAGCCCCACACTCAGCCTCCCGCCCCACCACTGACTCACACTGGATCTCTGAGGGGGTCCTCTCGGCCTGGCCGTGCTGCCCCCGGGAATGAATGGTGTCTGGAAACATGTCGTAAGTCTAAGAAAGAACACAAATAGTAGACACACACTTGGTACTCACTTCACACCAGGTGTGCTTCACACACATCGACGTGTTTTCTTGTCACAATTCTGAGATTACTATGAGATTAAATGGCACCCTCATTTCACTAATGAGAAAATCAGCACACAGAGGCAAATAACTGGCCAAAAATCACACAGAAAGCAGAAGATGGCTAAGCGAGGGTCATGGTCAGCCTTGGCCAAGGGCAGGAACCTATCGAAAGGGAGTACAGGGAGGCCAGACCGGCTCAGGGAAGATTCCTAATGGGTGGCTCACCTGGAGGGAAGCTCCCTGTGCTGCCACTTAAAGGGGCCTTGACCTATATTATCTTTGCCTGCCTTACAACCAGGCCAGGCCAAAACCTGTTTCCCCAGCTCCCCTCACTTACCTCCAGGTCACAGTCTTCTGGGGAAGGGGTGCCCAGGTGGGGGTCATTGGCCTTGTCTAACAGCTGTGTCAGGAGAGCCCGAGGGAGCTGCTGGGTTGTGAATGGATGCTGGAGGATTGAGGAGGGCTCAGGTTGGTCCCTGGCCCCCAGGCCCTTGCTTTCAAGCATCGAGCCCCCTGCCCCTGCCCCTGCCCCTGCCCCATCCCCTGCCTCCCACCTGCAGAAGCCTCTCGGCTGTTGGCCTCTTCTTGGGATTCTTGGTCAAGGCTAGCTTGAGGAAGTGGTGGAAATTCTGGGTCCTAGTGGGCACAAGAGCCCCCACACCCCAGGCCCAGGTTAGCCCTCATGCAGGGCATTCTGCCACCTGTCCCCTGCCGTCACTCCAGAAGAGTCTGCTGGTCCTGCCCAGGAAGGAGCCAACCTAAGGCCAAGGGCAGCCGGCCTGAGCAATGCTGCTATTACGACACGGAGGCTCTTCCGTCATCAACCATCCACCCTTCTTTCCTGATCACAGCTTCCTGGGCCCCTCCCACAGATGGCCTGTGGAGGCCCAGAGAGGGTAAGGCTCTTGAGGCTGCACCCCGGGAGCTGGCAGAAGGCTCCTCCACCCCCGTGCAGACCGGCTGAAAAGGGGACCCCAATAAGGGACACGGGCTCTCACCAGCGACTCTTGTCTCTCAGCTTAGGGGGCTGGAAGCTGCTCTTGGACATGAGCATCAAGGCCCTGTGGAAGCACAAGGTCAGGAGTCAAGGGTCAGCAAGGCCTTCAGGGTCAGGCAAAGGGCAAGTGTTCGACTGACCTCATCGGGTGCAGGTGGAATAAAGGGGGCTGTAGCTCGCCCAGCTCGATGGCAGTGATGCCCAGGGCCCAGATGTCACACAGCTCGTTGTAGCCACCTTTGCGCTCCACTGCGGCCACCTCTGGGGCCATCCTAGAAGAAGGGTCACAGATGGGATGGCCAAGTGCCCCACTTGTGGCCCCCACCTCTTCAGCCCACGGTGCAGCCTCACCAGTATGGAGTCCCAATGAAAGACCTCCTCTTAGCCACAGATGCCGTCAGCTCGCCTGACACCCCAAAGTCAGCTGCAGGGAGAAAGAGCTACTCTCATCCTCCCTCTGACTGCCACACCCCACCCACCTCCAGGGCTCAGGCTCAGGATGCACCTGGCAGGGCTCAGAGAGCAGGCAGCCCAAGTTCAGCCACAACTGCCAAGGCCAGGTCCCCCTCCTGGGAGGAGTCAACCACCTTCCATCTCTGACAACATGCTGGGTGCCCTGTTGGACTCCATACAAACCCAACCACAACTTCAAGCAGGAAGGGGGGACTGTTCTATTTTATCAGTGGGGAAACTGAAGCCTAAGAGCTAAAGTGACTTGCCCAAAGACACCCAAGACTTGAATGCAGACTCTAAGACATCCGGAGCTCCCATGGAACCCTCACCCTAATTGTGTCCCAGAGGTACTGACCCAGCTTGACATCTCCCTGGAGGGTGAGGAGAAGGTTGGCTCCCTGTGGGAATGGAGGAGAGAGAATGGTGTCTGGTGTTCCTGAGAGCCTCCTGCCCCCTCCTCTGATGCCCTAGGCCAGACCCCTACCTTGATGTCTCTGTGGATCTTCCCCTGAGAATGCAAGTGGTGCAGCCCCTGGGGACAAAGAGGAGCCACTGAGAGCTCCCAGCACCATCCCACCTCTCCGAAATACCCTCTGAGGACTGGGGCCCCCCACCCAAGCCGCTTCCTCCTCCCCTCTCCCCAAACAGGAAGTGGCTGAGCCAAGAGGGAAATGGGCTGCTTCCGGCAACAGGGCTGGGGCCCCTTCCCCCAGGACTCACAGCCCCTCAGGCCAGCCCTGCCTGAGGTACTCCACCCCCCCCACATCCCCCCCCCACTGGCCAGCTGGGCTCCCTGCCACGGCTCCTGGGGATTGGGGTGCTACTACCTTCAGTGCCTCTCGGCAGACATAGGCAATCTGCCGTTCCTCCAGGGGCCCAGTGGCTGAAATGGAAGGGGTAACGGGTGTCGTGGGGGGTCTGGGGATATGCTGAGCCCTCTCAGGCCACTCTGGGTGGGAGAAGCAGCAGGCATTGCTAAGGTGAAAGAAGTGTTGGCCACATCCCCTCCTTGCACAGTCTAGGATACAGAACCCAGAGAAGGGTAGTGTTTCTTTCAAGGTCACACAGCCGTTGAGTGGAGAGGGGCCCAAGTTCAGGGCCTGTGTTGGGGTAGGAATGGGAAGAAGCCTGTGGCCCTCTGGGGCCTGGAGTCCTGGCCCTCACCGTGGTAAATCTCCTGCAGGGACCCCCCTCCGCAGAACTCCATGCAGATCCACAAGCGGTCATTCCTGGGGGCACACAGAGCTGGGGTGGGCACACGGCAGAGCCACACAGGCGCTGCCTGGGGGTGGGCAGGGAGATAAGCAGCCTCACCTGAGATAGCTGCCAATGTAGGCCACCACATTGGGGTGGTGGCACTCACGCAGGATGGTGATTTCCTGCTGGAGGGAGCTGATGTCGTCCCCTGGGGAACACAGGGTGTAGAAGGATCACCCTAACTCAGTGCCCTCATCTGCAAATGGGCACAGAGTGCTTCCTTCCTCTGAGCCAGACAGATGCCAAGCGACAGCACCTCCAGGGGCCTGCCTCTGGGGGGCGGGGGTGTCTTGGAAATGTCAACTCTTCGCCCCTCACACCGTGCCGCCCGGCTCTCTGCCCTCCCTCGGGCGCGGAGGCCCTGGCCCCGGGCCCTCACCTGGGTCTAGCTTGACTATCTTGACCGCGGCCAGTTCGGACGTGACCGTGTCGCGGGCCTGCAGGGGTGGAGGGGAGAAGCAGGATGAGGAGGGGGGCGGGGCAGGGGCTGGATCCCGCGACAGGGTGCGGAGCCGGCACACTCCTCTCTGCTCTCCCGCCCGACCAGCCGCCGGGCGCACCTTGTAGACGTCGCCATAGGTCCCGGCCCCCACGCGCTGCAGCAGCTCAAAG